GTGGGAGGTTGCGGTTGCAGTTATGCAGGCCTTTTGCGGCCCGTTTGTTTGTTCCTTTTCCCAGCTGAGAATGCAGAAAGAATGAGACCCTCTGACTCGTCTCATATGTCTGGTCATCGTGGTCAGTCCCAGTTCCAAATTGTAGGCAAAGAAAATATCGGAAAAAAAAAAGGTCCGAGCACGAGCATGGCCAGCGCGGCCGAGTGAGCCGGCTGGTCCGGATGCTTTAATGCGGGGGGTTCATTAGTATGATCCTTAATTTTTAAAACCTTTTTAACCTGTATACTATGAGGGAAGAATGAGGCGGCATCTCGGTGCCCCGTTTTACCGGGCTTGTACACCCTGAGTAACCGTCAAGCCGACGAAATAAGCTGCGGACTGTCGGTTCTCGCGTGCGGGTTTTGCGGAACTCATGTCTTAATAGCAAGGTGACGGTTGGAGCTGTTGCTTGTTGCCTCGGCGCGTGCATCAGGGCGAAAATTACGTTGTTGGCACGGGCGGATACTGTGTGTTTCTAGATTTTTTGTTAGACTGTATTCAGCATCGACGTTGCATAAACAAAAAAATGTTGCCATTGCAACTTCTGTCGGTTGTCGATGGGCGGGCTGGCGGGGATGAAACTGCATGGGTATCTGAACATCAGGTGACAAGCACCAGATTGTACGCTTTTATAGTGCTACTGTGTTTTTGCCCTGATGAAGATTAACAGTCGCTGATTACACTGATGTTCCCAGTTTTTATTTCTTCTAGCCCCAGTTACAGTGAGAAAACATTGATGAAAAAAAGCACCAAAAGAAGATCTTGTGAGGCATTATCTGTTTTGGATTAGCTGTTCAGATTATTTTGTATTATTATTACCAACAAGTTGTAACCAAATACTCCCTCTGTGTACTGCTGTTGTCCCATGGGACTCCCAACTATTGTTCTTCTCTTTAGTCTACACCCTTATTTTGCAAAATTAAAAGAAGGGCCCATATTTTTTTATTACTGTAGAGTCAACCACAGTCCATTAAATGTTATGAGAAAACTACACGTGTCAATGTAGTGAAACCAAATCATAAACCGACCTACACATCATTACTGTTTAAAAAAATTGAACTAAAGTTCAATTCAACGATGATACATATTGATCCTTTGCGATTGGTCAATCTGTAGGATTCCGGTCCAGTGTAAAAAAATGGAGCCCTTTGGTTACTTGTGCAAATGGCTCACCCGAGAGTCTGTGTGTGTAGAGAGCTGCTCCCGTGAGATGTGGTGCCACAATACAAGATTGGCCTATTACTGGATTTAATGGATTTCATCACTTCACCACGTAATTTATTGGTCATTTACCATGCGCTATGTTTCTCACTCCCATCGTCTTTGCTGAACTCTCTCTCATGTAAGAAGGTATATTAGCTGTGCACACTAATTCAGTTTTCTTGTCTGCAGGTTTTCTGACAACCAGTGTCCTGTCTCTTCCCTTCTACAGACCAAGAGCCACAGGCACACACAGCCGCAACTCATTGGCTGTTGTTTGACGATGATGGCCCCTACTGTTGTCCGGGAAGGATCTTGCCAATCCCTGCCAACGCATAAAAAGGCGTTGAGAAGGTTTGTGTTTTGACTCTCAGGCGACAGTTTGTGGTACCATCTGTTTTCTGTCCATATTCAAATGCAGGGAATTGGCCTCCGACAAACTAAGCAGACCCCAAGCTCTCTCACATCCCTGTGTTTCTGTTACCTGTGCAGTTGTCAAACTGTTGAGATCACGTGTATAGAGGATTTATGATGTATTGCTTTTATTGCATGCTTGAATAAAAACATTTGCACCTTCTGTTTTGGCATTGAATAGTTCTGGTGTCCTCTGTCACCTCTGCTTTTCGAAACTTGCTTTCCGTAACACTTGATCTGGTGTTGCCAGTACACACAAGATCATAGTCATCAGTCCCCACTAGTCCCCTGATGATGTTCTAGAATTCCCATGATAAGTTGTCGTTGTCTCGTTTGCAAGGAACAAGGACCAAAGTCGTCTGAAATGCCTAAAAAAGTATCTGGAATCCTGATTTGCTTATGTTTTGTTATGCTGTGATTTATTTTCAAGCTGTATCTTGATAATTCTCTACAATTCTCCTTAAACACTTTTCTGTCTATGTGGCTTCAAGAAAGTTGTCAGTATTGATTATACTGAGGGAATTGTACCTCATTGCTGGACAGTGGTTGGATCACAACAGGAGACCCAATAACTGCCCGGTTAGATATTTGTACATTGTCAAATTTAGGGTGTTCATTGTAGAAATATTAATTAGTGTTCTTTAGGTCATATTCAGCACACATGTGTCAGTTTCCCTTTTCTGTTATTTCAGTCGGCATCGCTGTTCGGAACCATCCTCCAAAGGTGACAGGTGAAACATTGTATCCTCTTATTCATTACTCCAGGTTTTTATAGTCTGTCCGGTTCTTAGCTTTACTCCACCCCGGGACAAATTCTTGAGGGCCTTCTGTTTGGCTGCAAAAGGAATGTAGTTTTTAATGTCTCTGCGCCCATGGCAGCCAGGCCAGATTGTATTATGTTTTCAGGTTGTCCACCCGTTTCCATCATGTCCATATGATCATCCCATTCTTGGTTAACACCAATATCTCAGTAAAACTTAAGGGAGATTATCTTTCAATTCAGGTACAAACATCATCTTGACCAGGGATGAGACTTGGATTAGATTTTTGGTTGGTCAAGTCAAAGTCACTTGTGGTGTCCTCAAAAATAGACACATTGTGTTGGCATAACTAGTATGAATTCATACTCTATTTTAATAACACCAATTTTACTCAATGTCTCATAGGATAAAATGATAATTTGATGACATTTTATATCGCAAGATGGTCAATGGTTAAATTCACTTGTGACATCATAACGTTTGCAACGTCATATTTCATACACTGTAACTGAGGAAAAGTATGGATATTGTGAACCATGATGTTCATTACAAACTGTGAGTTGCAATAAGTATTAAGTTATCTTTTAATATGTCAGTGATTCAACTTCCTTTCACCTGATTAATTCAACACACAGCTTGGTTCGGTTGCGGGGTTACTCGATTCGGATGGAGACCAACCTTTGCAGCTGAATAGTTGATGTCTTGTTGACCAAATGTAACCTCAGCATGGTTCACCAAACCAAAGAATGCCTCACCTCCCCCTGCCTTGCCTGTCAACAGGACCTCAATGTTGGATGTGAGGCACATTCTCCATCTCTTTGTGTAGGTAACCTTTAAAAACTAAGCACTGTCTACAGAAAATTGTTTATAAGAATTCTCATTTAATTACATTAGCAACTTAACGCTAACAGTTTCTTTGGCAAATAGCTGCCAAATGAAGGAGTAATTGTATTTTCTGTCTTTCCACCATCTCATTTTTCTTTCAGTTTGGCCACGTGACCTTTCTTTGTGTGCCTAGAGAACATTCTAATAAAGAAAGATAACAGGCAAAGACCTGAAGTACGAGGCGCTCTGGAAACCCAGTGAGCTGACCCGTACCAT